GAAAATAAGTGAGAAGGGTAAGGCTGGGGAGGCCAGGCAGCCAGATAAAATCTGAAGTAGGAGAGCCGGTATTCAGAATGTAGTTCATATTAAACTATGAAATAACTTAAAAATATTCTAATGTCATATATACATTTTTAGATATATATTGTTTCTTCCTTTAATTGGCAAAAATGGTCTATTTGACTGCTAATTCTAATTGTCTTTTCTTCTCAGACTTCTACCATATAGAGTAGGATATAATCACAAATACCATATAAAAATATTAATTCCCACTTCATAAAAGAGAATGCTTTACATACAAAGAAACCCTCTCATTTAAAAAACAAAACTTTAATTTATACACAAATTTCCTGGAATGTACTTATTTATTTTATAAATTGAAATGTAGTCTTCAATGGTTTGCCTTTTTACCTGTTTAATTGTGCTCATATGCTGCTTCTCTGTTTCTGTTCTTTTTTTTAGTTCTTCTCTTAAATTGTCTTTTTCTGAACATATGTCTAGGATGAGCTCCTGATGCTTCTTATTTTCTTTAATTAACCTAAGTATGAAAAGGGCAGTATAAGTAAAACATAATTTAAAAAGGAGATATGGAATATAATCTACTTCCAGATTAGGGTGTAGGTACTTATGATTAATAAACCACATTCCTAAGTTATCCTTTTGTAATGGCACATTACACTTTGGAAAAAAACGTTCTCTGACCAGTCAGGCTATTAACATCTTCCTAGAAATTTGTATATTCCAAGTCCAGTGAATATACTCAGATAAAGAACACCACACTCTTTTTAAGTTTATGTCTTTGGGCTTCACAATTATGTACTTCATCCCACCAGCACCTGAACCCCTTCAGATTAGCAGTTCTCAACCAGGGGTAACTCTGCCCCTCCAGCCATTTGTCTGGAGACATTTTTGGTTGCTACACAGGGGTGGTGGTTGCTTGGCTTCTTGTGAGTGGAGGCCAGGGATACTGCTAAACATCTTACAAAGAATGATCTACCCCGAAATGTCAATAGTGCTGAGGTTGAGAAATCTTGCTTTAGATTTTAAAAATACTTTAATGATAATTTAATCGTTATAGAAGAGTAGTCAATGTAAAATACAAAAGCTTAAGCAGAAGTTTCATTTTGAGTCCCCTAGAAAAGCATGAATAAAAACCTTAAAAATTACCTGCAATAAGGTAAGACACCAAAGAAGGTTAACAGCTGATACTTTTGGATTATTAACAGCAATAGCTATTACTTAAAATTTATTACACAATTACTATTTATTAAGTTTAGCTCTAAGTGCATTATTTCATTTAATATTCGTTAATAAAATTAGCCTCGTTGGTGTGCTCGGTGGTTAGAGCGTCGGCCTGAGTACAGAAGGGTTGCAGATTTGATTCCCGGTCAAGGGGTCAAGGGTATGTACCTGCAACCCAGGCCCCGTGCTGGGGTGTGTGCGGGAGGCAACCAATCAATGTGTCCCTCTCACATTGATGTTTCTCTCTCTATTTTTTCCTCTCTCTCTGAAAATCAATGGAAAAAATATCCTCGAGTGAGAAAAAAAAAATAGTAGGTTTACAGTTGTAAGTACAGAAAACACAGAGTCTGTTCTTGTATTATTAATTATTGTATTATTTATTTGTATTACAACTGTAAACCTACTTTTGCTCACCTCAAATAAAAACTGATGCATACCTATTATTTCTAAAATAGAAATACCACATTCTAAAAAAATAGACAAATTAAATAACTAAACACACTTGACATTTGTTTAATTATTCAGTAAACACATATTGTTGATCAACTACAAGGTGCATGGCTCTATTGTCGAATTGAAAGTGGACAAGACAGTGTTTTCCTTTAAAGAATGCCACCTTTAATCCCTGTGGGGAAAAATAGCCTGAAAGAACAAAAAACTTACTTCTTTATGGTGTGCTCCTGCTGCAAATACTTATCTTGTACACACTTTTCAAACATAACTAACGCATGTTCTCCCTTATGCATTCCATTGGGTACTCGGTGTTCTGCAAAATCCGTAGATAAGAGCTCAGATTCTATTTCTTCTAACAAATCCTCTGATGTGGAAGCATTCGTTATTTTTGAAATAAGTTTCTTGGTACAGTCTGTATCGTAGGGACTTTCTGAATAAGTCTTTTGACTAGCTGCGTCAGTAAATGTAGATGACCTTAATTCAGCCAATATTTGACTTACTGTCTGTTCAGTTCCATTGGTTTTTGAAACTTGCTTTGTAAAATCTCCACCAGGAAAATTAGCTATTTGTTCAGAATCGTCTGGGCATGAGTCTGTTTTAGCACAAGAATCCTCACCTCCACCATGATCTGGAATATAATTTTCCTGTGCTTCAATTTGATTATTGTGTTCATTAGGCTGACATGAAGTTTTATCAAAGTTTAATAATAGTTTGGACTCATTTTCTAAGCTGCTGCTTTCATCACCAGAAAACGAGTTGCATGAGTCTTCCTTTAGTTCAGATGTTTTCCCAATATTTTTATCAGAGGAAATGGAGGCGACATGCTCTGTCTCTGACATGCTGACTGGCACCAATTCGCTCTGCATTCTTCAAATCTGTTCCTGATCTTCGTTTTACATCTAGGAAAGTCAAAACATCGAAGTTTAAAAAGAAAGTTTTTTTAAAACCAAGACCCCATATATATTTACACATATCCCATGATGTGGAATAACTAAGGCCACAAATTGTACCACTAAAAATTCTTTTCAAAGCCACTCTTTGAAGGGTAAAAGCAAAAGAAAGAAAAAAAGGACAGGACAGCCCATCCAAGTGCGCCACAGCCAACAGCACTACAAAGTCTCATTCTTTCTCCTACAGTTCAGTCACACAGCTCAGCTTCAGACACAGTTTCACATTCCTCAGTCACCCCCATAAAGATGCTGGATATGGAATAAGACTAGTAACTGGAAGATTAGTGCCAAAAAATTGTTGAAAATTCCTTCAGCTACACAGGAGGAAATGAGTATCGAAAGAATCTATAAGAAAATATTGGGGAAATAAGACAGCAATGACAACATCAGAAGAGAAATTACAAACCAAGATAATAAAACAAGGCACATTAACAATGACAAAAATTTACTGAGAAAGAAAACTAAACAATAACAAGACACAGTTACCTAGAGCCTAAACACCTAGAGCTGAGCTGAAAAAATTATGGCATAAAGGATCCCTGGCAAGGATTCATTTTTCATTCAGGCCAAGATCCAGGAAAATACTATGGTGAGTTCCAAACATGTTCATAAAGAATAAACACTATTTGGCTCTCCCTGCCCAGAGCATGCCCACCCCCTTCTCCTTCCCCCACAGTGTGCATCTCCTAAACTCTAAGGATCCGCAGGAGACTTGCAACCAGGAGAGCAATGGGCAGCGGCAGCTCATCCTGGGCTAACCCCCTAACCTGTTGGCGTCCAAGGCCCCCTTTTCTCTGACTTTGCAGCGAGCCGACTGCAGCTCCACCTTGGCTCACTTCCTTCACTGTGACTTATTTCTCAGTCAGCCAAAGTAGCCCCACCTAGGCACATTTCTTCCTTATAACATTTTTAGAGTGCCAAAGCGGCCCTCCTAATGCTTCTGTCCTATGCCCTCCCTGGTTTCACTGTCCCCTTTAAGACACATACTTGAGGAAGAAGAAGAGACAATGTTCAGTGCACCCTGAGCGGAGGCCCTACACACTACCTCGGTCCTAAAGGCAGCATTTACAAACCTAATTCACCAACGCTAGAATCCATCTGTGTGCTATTTATGACGGCCACTATTCTAGCTGTTTCCTGAAAATAATTCAAACTCAAAATTATTCTGAGGCAGATAAATACAAAGCATTCCAGCAATCTCAATGAAAAAGAATTGTCAACTTCTTTTGTCACATAGCAACAAAGCATATACATGGTAGATGAATTACTAGAGTCATATAAAGTTGGGTAAAAATGTGGGCAGATCATAGTTTTGACAGCAACTAGGAAAGAACTCTAGATGGAAGGTGAACTTATAAAAATCAAAACAGATTAAATTTTTGAGTAACAGAAAGATACATGTTCATTGTGGTCTATGATGGAGATGGTGGTCAAAGGATGGTGAAAAACGGTAAGAGAAGCTGGCTAGGTACACTGCTCAGAATGATATACAGGAGTGAGCTTTGTTATAACAAATCATGATTGACTAGAATATACTTGATTAATCTATAAAGCTTCCAGTATACAGTAGGTTCTTAAATATTTGTTGAATTAAAATGCAGAAATGACATGATGTAAGTAGTATTTGAGGAACATTATTCTAGAATGCAGAAAACAGGAAGAATAATTCTAAGAAAGGAAAAGAAGACCAGCTTGTTTGTCAAATACCCTGTCTTTTAGTTTAGACTGTCCTTTGAGATATTGACTAATATTGACATTGGCCTTAATACTATCAATTATCTAGCTGTATGACATATTTCCAAACAACCAAATAGAAATTGTTATCCTGCTGCATATAAGCCACATCTAAGACATAGCCCACACTAGTATTAAAGCGTGGTTTAGACAATACAAATAAATGAAGTTATTAAGACCCCACGAGTATGCTGCATTCCAAAAATCTAGGACAAAGTAAAATCATTCTCAAACAGGGATTTTATCCACCTACATTACCTTCCCTAAAGTAACTCACTTTAAGATATAACTTGTGAATGCGTTCCTGCTAAATCTGAACTTTTAATTTAGAAATCAATCTAAAAGCTAATGAAGAATGTAGTTTTAAACATCATAACTAGTCCACACTGTATCAACTGAAGTAGAACTCAGAGCTGACCAAAATAAGTCTATAAAGGTACTGTGACTCTCTAGAATAGACAGAGCAAGTGAGAAGAAACTATCATTTGAGAGCTTTATAAATTTTGACCATGTCATGCTTTGTCAAAAAAAAGCACTAAACAAATACTGGTTCTCATCCTCTCATCCAGATTTCATTATTTCCAGGGTTTCAGTCCTCAGCTTTATTTTGCCTCCCATAATTTATCCACTTCAGTAACATGAACCAACAATTCACAGTTGACGCCCACATGATTTTCAGTCCTGTTCTTGAGTTATAGATAACAAATTATCTATACCTTCACTTTCACTCTTTATCTATGTTAAAATCTCCACCTGAATATGAGCATTTCCACTAAATGTTCTACCATAACCTCATACTCAAAATGGCTAACCTAAAATCATAAATACAGCCCCAATAATCAAGCACCTCAACCAATCCTGTCAACAGTATACCCTTTTTCTCAGTCTGACTCCTTTTCCTTTGCCCTCTTAATCTTTTACCAGTTTCATGTCTCCTACAATTATACCCTCCTTTCTACTGTCACTGTCCCCACCTGCACCCCAATCTACATCTGATCACTTCATACCTGGAACACTTCAACTGTTGGCTTCTCAATCTCACTTCATTCCTCCCTCCTGTCTTCCTTCCTGCAACTCCAAGTGGAAGAGCACAGTGAACTAAAGGGCAAGTGATTTGAGGCAGCACCAGGGCAAGTGTCACCCAATTCAGAGAAGGGGTGGAAGTTTGTAATATCATTAGCTCTGCAAAAAGGGAACAGGAGGGGCCCTATGATGTGGGTCCTCAATGGCAGAAAGAGCTAGGAAGCTACAACACTGCCTCTAAAAATATCCACACACACCACCTCCACAGCCCACCGTCAAACGCAACCAGATGAATTAGAGGAAGGTCAGGGCTCTCCCTTCCCTCTTTGGGTTCAGGTAATGAGAACTAGGCCCCCAATGACTGGTCATCTTCCCTCTCCTCCAGAAGGGCTAGCTAGAGAATGGAGAGGGTAATATTTTAGAGCCAGATTATTATACCTCTTCTTCAAACCAAGCCTCTGGGAACCAAAAGCTTCAACCTTTCTCCAGGGAGACAAATGTGGTTGTTTTTTGTTGCTCATTTTTGTTTTTTAAATTATTGAAACCTGTCTTGATTTCTGGAACAAGTTTTCTCTAGTAATTAAAAGTGGCAGAAAAGTTATGACATCAAACCAAGACACTATTAAGGGACTGCACTTCAGAGGAGGGGAGAGATGGGCCATTTTACACAGTAATGATTAGAGACCCACTGAGGAAAAAACTAAAACCATTTCATGCTTATGCCTCAGAGTTGTGATTCCTCCAGGAAACCAGTTGTACTACTTTTCCAATCTTATCTCGCAACACATTCCTAAAAGCCTAGTACTTCACTATCCTCTACCAGTCCCCGACGAGTCTACTCTCAATTCTGCCAATTTGCACACTAACCTTTCCATGACTTTGCTCCCATCCAGACTGTCCTTTCCTTTCTTCTCTCCAGAGCATAATAATATATTTAAGGAACTGATTCTAACGCTACATCTTCCTCCAAATTTTCCCTCAATGCAAGCACAAAAATTCTCTCTCATGTAAATGAAAACACACTGCATTTATAGTCATCAAGCAGAGTCACAGCCTTCCTTGTGACATTTCTTTTAAATGATTTCTATACTTGCAAGGAGAAGGAACCTCTCTCTGAACTGAATCAAACTTCTTAAATCTCACACAATAATAATAATAAATAGGTAACTAAATTTAACAAATATATTCTCTACTACACTTACACTCATTCTTGCAAATGCTATTCCGTGGTTCTCAATGAGAGTGGGGCCCATTGGGTTTACGCAATAATCGGGAACTGAACGGCATTGAGTGGATAGGGACCAGGTTGTAAGGAGACTGATAATGTGCAAGACAGCGCAGAATAACAAAAATGTGCCTCACGCTGCTGGATATTCATCCAGGTAAAAACAAACAAGCAAACAACCCTGATTTTATAACTGCCTCAGCTTAGACTGTTTCACTGTTACCTCCTATAAATTACACAATGCTTAGGTTAACCTCAAACAACAAGTACTTTCTCTACCGTTGCTCAGTAATATGCCCATGATCTTTGAAAAAGTCTTCGTATATCATCGCATCTGATAACCACTGAGCTTTCAAACTTAGTTTTCTGATGCCTAAACGAATACTTCCTGGAGGCAAAAGGAAAAGGAGGGGTTAAAGATCTGCATGTATATATGTAGCAAAGCCATCACCAACATTTTAAGTAACTATGTAAGA